GACAAAATATGACCAAAATTGAATTAGACAAAAAAGGGAAAATTTCACAAATGGACTTAGGGCCTGTTTGGAAGCAGCTGCAATGGCTGGAAAGGCTGAAAAGCCTGAAAAGACTTAACTTGGTGAAGTAAAAGTGTTTGGTAATATTTTGGCTGGAATGGCTGATTGAATGTGAAATTACCACTAAGGGTATTTGCTTAGTTGTATTAAATATATGATGTGAATTTTATGATTGAAGAAGAGCGCATATATCGTGGATGTAGGCCTGTCAATGGGTTGGGTCTAGACCCGGACCCGACCCGGACCCGGTTTTTTTAACGGGTATGGGTCCTTATTTTATTCCGTTTACCCGGACCCGAACCCGGACCCGTTAGTACTTTTAATAAACGGGTCGGGTATGGTGCATATGATTCCGACCCGTTAAGGACCCGGACCCGTTTAGAATTTCTTATTAGTATATATACACACGTACACAATAATACATAAAGAGATTAGTTACAATACTTCAAATAAAAATACAAACTAATATATATATATATAAAGTGATTAGTTTTAATTATTTGATTAAAAAGATACAAATTAATACATACCTAATGTATAAGTGATAATATTATAGTATATAATATGCTTTTAGTCCAAAAGAATTTTTTGTGACCTAATTTCTAGTCTAATATACGAGTTTTCTGTGGGAGAGAAAGAGACACAATGTGCGGAATTGTACGCATCTACAAGAACCGATATTTTATTCGATAAAAGTACTAATTTTCTATGATAAACCTTGATTTTTTTTAAAGTGAAGATATATTTTGCTTTTAAATTTGTGCACTTTGATTTACATTTCATATACATGTTTTGCTATTTTTAAAAAATTATGTAATGTTGTGTCAAAAAATATATAATATTGTGCACATGATACTTGGCGGGTCTACCCGACCCGGTTCCGAGACCCGTTGGGTCCGGGTCCGGGTCCAAGTTTTTAGACCCGCCGGGTAAACGTGTCGGGTCCGGGTCCTTTATTTACTTAGCGGGTCCGGGTCTGGAACACTACGTTCCGACCCGGACCCGACCCATTGACAGGTCTACGTGGATGGGTCTCCTGCCTCTACTTTTCTTCATTTTACGTTTTATGAAAATAAATAAGAAGTATGTAGCAAAGGTTAGAAACAAATCAAAAAATTGAAAACGAATTGAAGAAGAAGAGTGCATCTTGCAATCGAAGAAAATCGCACATATCGTGGATGGGTCTTCTAACAATCGAAGAAAAATAAGAAAGAAGCTAGAAGAAGAGCAGGGCAGCTTATTTGACGAATATGGAGGAGCCGGGCTAGCAGAGCAGATGAAACTCGACGCAACAGATTTGGAAATTAAATGGTCTTCGACTATTCTGAGGCGATGCGTTAACAGGTATAGTAGAAGGGTAAAGGAGTATATTCAGGTTTCAACCGTAAATATATACCTTTCAGCCCAAAAAGTAGCAATAAGGTTGCTTTTTTGGCTGATAAGGAAAATCAGCCCAAACAGCCACATACACATGTGTTTGGCTCTATTTTTAGATTTTAAGGCTTATCAGCCCAATTTTATGGCTCCAAACGGCCACTTAAAAGGTAGAATAATATCACTTTTGTCGTCTCTCACTATTTCTTTCAAAATTAGCGGAGTCAATGTTCCACACTTCCACTTTCATAAATAGACCACATGTACAACTAACGGCCTGATGTTTGCCAGAAGAAGAAAAAACATAGAAGGTCGTAGGCTCGTAGCTTCGAAGGTGGAAAAACATGGCTGGAGTTCAAACTGATTCTTTAGATAATTCTATCAAATTGCTTCTTCACAAAACTCTAAACCAATTCAGAAATAATAAAATACCCAGTATAATGTTTCTCTATTTTACATATTTCCATTTTTCCTTTTCCCTTTTACTGAAGTATTGACAAATCTAAGTAAACCTAATAATTAAAGACAATTTAAAATTATCAAACAAAATGTATTTATTTTAATTGTGAAAGAGATATAAAACTGAAAAAGTAAATCCAAGTAAAAATTACAGAAATGAAATATAAATATTTAAAATGTGTGAAATGAAATTTTTACAAACATACGAAACATTAAAAGATCAAAATATTGTGAATGAATACTTACAAACTTAAAAACGTGCCAAACAATTAAAATACAAATAAAAAATCCAATTAAATTTTTTAAAATACAAAACTCCAAAACAAAAATGTAAAAACTCACAATTTTTTTGAAAATATAGAAAATGTCTAAAAAATAAAAATATGCCTATAATATAAATAATATTGTACCAAATAAGTACATAAAATTTGAAAAAAGTTCTAAAAGTTTAAATTAAAATGTATATAATGAAAAAATATAAATTCACAAATAAAATTATTAAAAACCAGAAGTTAATGTAACCTAAAAGTGTGTAAATTCAAAATAAACTCAAAGAATAAAAATATGAAAAAAAAAAACATAATGAACACACACAAAAATCAAACAATTGAAAATGAATTTTTTCAATACAAGTTTTCCTAATGTACTTAACCTTTTTAGGTAATATTCTTATTATTATTTGTTGTTCGATTTTGTTTCTTTGTGTTTCTTTTTGTTGATAACACTTATATTTTTGTTTTTTATTGTTTCTTTATATTTCTATTTGTTGTTTACATTCATGAATCCAAATTTATGATTTAGTTGTTTGCATACAAATCCATAACAAAAATTATTTCCAGGAAGTAACAAAGATGAAGAGAAACCTAAATATTAAACAACAAAAAACGAAATCAACAATAAATGACAATGAGCAACATATTGCAACAAAAAGCAACATGATACAACAAAAAGAAACACAATGCAACAAAAAGTAACACATTCGATACAACAAAAAGAAACAAAAAACAACATAAAAATGTATCACTTTTAATATATAATTCAATCGATTATTTAATTTATTACACCTATCTATTGTATTATTTGGCTTTGCTTGATCACTCTCTTCTTCATTGGATGCATCTTATCGCGGAACCCATCAAGTTTGTCTCTCGTGTCCTCATTTCCTATTTGAACTTCTTAATCTGATTATAATCTTCGGTATTGTACATCTCTTATGCACATGAAACTATAATCTTTGGCGTTGTACATCTCTTATGCGCCTGTAACTATAATCTTCGGCGTTGTACATCTCTTATGCACCTGTAATAAGCATGCAATCAATATAACACAAATATAGAATCAATTATTACAAGGGGAAAAATATAGCAAAGGGATCCTGGTGAATGGGAGGATAGCATATTTAACATTTTCAAAGATTGAGGTTAGAGTGCTCTCTTCGTCCGTAGGGGCATCCAATTCCCTTCAAACCTGAACACAGAGCATATGGACGGGGAACCAAATTTCTTAATAAAATTCTTTCTTGCTTCAATTGATTCTGCAATCTTTATGGATATACTCTATGCAGTAAGTAAATAGAAGATATAGTGATTAAATACATACCGAAGCAGCTGAGCAAGCAGGGGCGGAGGATGAAGGGCGGAGCCACAAAGACGGAGAGTCTGGAGGGTGTCGTTGGGGAAAGGCGGGAGAGGAACATCACGTTTTATTGTAATGGAAGGGCTAGTCAGAGCAGATACTACATCTAGCCAGGGATGTGACTCAAAAGCACCTGCTAGTGTTGTGGGTCAGAAGGATATTTGTTTGAAGTCTGAGCAGGTCAGTGCTTTTAGTAAGAGCAGAGGTCATGAGTATAGAGATAGAGCTACAGGGAGACGGGCATCACATCATGGGATCGGTGTACGTTCGGGCAAAAGAGCTCACTTGATTCAGGTCTAACGACTTCCAAATCAATTTCTCCGGAGGAAGCAATGGCTGAATTCCTGAATGCATCATTTGGAACTGGCAGTTATGCCACAAGAGTTCAAGCATGGGCTGGAAAGAGGGAGAGGCACTTGGTAGCAGCAACAAGGGGCAGATTGAACCATTGCAAGCAAATGCAAAATATGGGAACTGTTGGACTGAGATGGAATCATAGAGAAAGACGCTCTTCATAAGTGCTCCTTCAATTACCACATTTTTGTTAATCGGCCTACTTAGTTGGAAATCTCCTAAATAACAACTAATTTAATTGAGCAAGCTCATCAAAACACTAGTTTATTTGAATGAAACGAAGAAAACAAACTTATCATTTAAAAAACCAAAAAAAAATTAGATGAAATAAGAATGCATCTCATAAGACAAATACAACTGATGAGAAAAGGCTTCTAAGCACACTAAAGAGAATAGGTGTGAATTCCATTCCTGCCATAGAAGAGTTGAACATATTCAAGGAGCATGAAGTGATCCAGCTCATTAATCCAAAAGTCCATGTTTCAATGGCATAACACATACAAAAACCTATCCTAGCTATTAGAGCAACAACTACTTAAGAAGAACACGATGATGATGTGCAAGAGCTGCAGGAAAGTGAAACCTTAGAAATCTACAAGTTATAAATTCACTTTACGTTGTGTCTAAAAAATCAAATAGGCAACTCCAGAAATAGTCTATTAGCGGCAGAATTCAAAATATTTGTATGGTTTATTCTAAAACTAAATCTAATATTGCAGCAGTAGGTATTACATAAAATCAAATTTAGGTGTAACCTATAATCAAATTCTTCTCGGTGCTTAACTAATAGAAATCTAGAATACCTTGAAATCTGATGAACAAGTTGTGTGAAACAGATTGAATTGAATAGAATTTAAGCAGATTGACCGGTGCGAGTCAACAACGAACTTGAGGGGACAACGGCATATTTCTTTGCTCTAGCTTCTTCTGGGATGGATAAAGCATATTGAGGGATTGATCATGGATGTGTATCGTTGGATTCAACTTTCCCGAAAGCTCTCGACCGATACCAGTATAGGCGTGCCTTGGCTGAGAGGCGGTAATCTATTCAGCCAGCGGAAAAATGGTGGAGGAGATGATGTGAAGAAACGGAAAACATAAGAGAAAGGAGCGGTGTCGAAGGGAAAGATTATTTTTGAAATAAATAAGTTAGAACTGAAAAGTTAAAAGTTTATAAATGAAAAGTAAATAGGCTTGAGACATAATTGAAATAAAATTGGGAAAAGTAGACTGAACGGGATATTTCCACGACAAAAAATGACTAAAGCCCAATAATCCATCGCGCGTCACTTCTCCTCCTCTACGCAGGCTACGCTCAAATCCATGTCCAGAAGCTCCATAGGCCATATCCACAAGCCATATGCATCTGTCTGCTCCCTTCAGATCCATGGCCGGCGTCGCCACTGGTCTCGTTCTCACTTCTCACCACTGCTCGATGAAGACCAGCCAGGAGCCGCCGCCCTCTACCACTCGTCTGCCACTCGAACGACGCCGGAAACCTCTACTTCAACGAGGTCGGCCGACAACGAAGATGGACACAGCGCAGCTCCGCCGCCGCTTCCCTGCTGCTGCAACTCATACTGTCTGCTTCTTCTGCTTCTTGTTTCTCGAGAGCATAGCAACTGATTTCGATTGATTTCTTCAATTGAGATTTGGACTAGGAGAACAGGCTCAGGGTTTGGTTTTTGTTAAGTGCGATTAGGAGGAGGATTTTGCAATTGAAATTATTGGCTATGGATGGAGGAAGTTGTTGAGGGCGGGCTTGGGGGGTGTGATGGGAGGATTGTGGTCCGACTTCGGGCCGCTGCAGCTGGCAAGGGTGCAGTGGTAGTATGGGGTAGGTTTACGGTGGTTGTGAGCGAGTTGGGGAAGGTGGTAGAGAGGGTAGGGCGGCTGCCGGCTGGCCACCTAACTGGAGGCGGTGGTGAGGTTACTGAATGTGACCAGAGACGTGAGGGCGATGGTTGTCGGGGGCTGTGGCTGGTAGTGGCAGCCAGAGAGGTGCAAGGGCGAGATATCGGAGACGGGGCGCTTGGTCACTATTAGGAGGCGGCGAGTCATAGACGGTTGTGATCGGTGGTGGCCGGCAGTGGGCTGGTGGTGGTGTATGGTTTGGCCGGAAAAACGTTGCTGCAAAATTTTCGGATCGTTATAGTGACATGTTTCACGACAATAGTGACATGTTTTACAGCAGTAGTGACATTCAAAGCTCAAAAGTGACATAAATATCTATTATTGACATATAACAATGACATAAAAATCCGACTACATAAAAAAAGTATAGTGACATCTTTGTCACATCTTTGTCCTTTTTAAAAAATAGTCATATTTTAGAAAATCAGTTTTAATTTGGTAATATTCAAGGGAAAAGCCCATATTGTTATTCAATTATTTAAACAACTAAATCCAAAAAAGTAAAAAAAAAATGTAAGATCCAAATTTTTCGAGATATAGCTATTTTAGGTTTGAATCTCAAAATTAAACAAATGAAACACTAGAAGATTATTGAGAAGCAAGGGTGGGAGAGAAGAAGATGGAAGAGGAGGAAGACAATAATTACCGGAGAAGACCGTCGTAGCGCTAGAGACTGGAGTTACGGCACATGGCCGGAGTGACATTGCAGAAGAGAAACCGACCACCGACGGAAGAGACCGGGAGAGATGAGTTGGCCGCCATTTTCTCCACCTTTGAAATCCACGGTAAAGAAGAACTTGTAGAGTTGTAGATGTGAAGATGGGAGAGTAGAGAGATGTCAATTGAGGGATGATAGAATAGGGCAACCGGTGTAAAGGGCGTGCGGCGTGCGTGACAGAGTAAAAGAAATAAGGAAAAGAAAATCATTATTATACAGAGGATAATATTGAAATATTAGTGCTTACTTTGGGATTTAAAAGGTGTGGTACTAGTTTTGTTTTCCTATTATGTTTTTACTCCTATAAAAGGTGATTTCTTTATCTTCAAAGTTCAAAGGAGTTTGATGCAAACTATACGGTAAGACTAGCTTATGTGATCAAATGTAGCTTCATGAGAAAATTGCTCGTGATAGGATAAAACATACGTAGTAGTATTCTTCCAAAGCTAGGACCTTATATATGTTTGGTTTTCCTTAAATGGTACTCCCTCCTTCCCGCTATGATTGTCCCATTTTACCATTTCGGTCCGTCCCACTAAGATTGTCTCATAACTTATTTGGTAAAGTTGGTGTGGTTCTAAATTTTTTCTACTTTATTCTTACTTTATCAATTCAATATCAACCACATAAACTCACTTTTATTAATAACCGTGCCCACTTCTCTTGTCCCAAACTTAGGGGGACGGAGGTAGTAGTAATCATTCCAATTCTATGACTAATTAAACTAATTAATTGACTTGAGTTTCCTTACATATCCATGATCATCCCATTGGTGGCGGGTCGATTCGTGGTGGCAATGGCGCAAAACTTTAGCGAGAACGATAATGACAGAAATTCGGTAGATCGCCGGAACAATTCGGGAAAAGACTCCGGCAGTGGAAACCGACAGTTCAATGGCAAGCGGAGGTCCTAAACAAAAATGTGACCTCCTTAAAAAGGAAAACCCTAGCCCAATCTGTCAAATTTCTGTGCACATTCCTTCTTCGCCTAAGCATTGTCGAACTCAGCAGCGTACAACCTTCTCCGAAAAGATGCAGAAGCATCGACCTCCTCCACCGAGCAGCAGATCGTCGCCGCCTCCGCTCCCCTGACCGTCGTTGCTTCCATCACCACCAGTCTTTCCCTTACGCCAATAACAGATCTGGCGCATCGTCGCAACCACCTTCGCCGTGGTTTTCACCATTGTCGTCGCCCTAGCCCTCGGTGTCACCCTATCTCGCTTAGTTTTCTTCTCTTTATGTCTGGTGTTGCTTTGGCGAAGGCTTTTACAGATTTGCGATGATGGTTTGGAGATTAGGGAGTGACGGGGGCAGTGGTGGTGTGGGGATTATGGTTAAGGTTAGATCTGGATCTAGATCCATGGCTAAGATTACTATGATTAGATATGGGGCAGTGGTACTGTTGGTGTGGCCTTGGGAGGGCAGTGGGGTGGGGTAATGGTGGGCATCGATGGGGGCTTGTTTGGCAATGATAGAGCTGGAGGTTTGCATGATGAGGTTCGGTCAGAAGCTAGCGGCGTCACCTATCTGAACTGACAATGTCTATAACATTATAGTGACAGTGTGTGTGGGAGGGGGGGGGGGGCAGTGACGATGGTGTGAGGATGGGGAGTGATGGTAGAGAGTGGTCACCAGCATGTGTGTTTAGTCAATGAAAGGCAGCAATGGAAACGATAGTGCCAACAGGGTGGCGGGCAGATTTAGTTGAAACTTACGTTTTACCGAAAAAGTCGCGAGGAATTTTTTCAACGATCACACTGATACCAACGACGGTGGCAGTGACATGGGAGCTCGCGATAGTGACATATGTAAGTGATTATAAAATCTCATAGTGACATCTGATAATGACTTGAAAATATGACAATAACATCATATATTTCCAAATATATAAACTTTTTAGTCACATTTTTGTCTGAATGTAAATGTGGTTACTTTTTAATAATATTCATGGAAACGCCCCTAAATCTTAAACTACTACATCCTATTTTTGGAAAATGGACGAGTTTTACTTATATATTTGAGGACATCTTCCTAGTTTCTTTCTTCTTCGCTACATTAATGATCGTTTCTTTCCATTGCCTTCAATTTTCTATTTCCTTCTCTCTAATTCTTTTCTCCTTTAAATTTTTTATTAATCTAAATAAATAATATTATTGCATTTCATACACATAGACTATTTTTTTCTGATTTTTTTAATATTCGTGCACTTTTTCTATAATATAGTTTTTCATATTCATACTTTATTTTCAGTAATATATTTTATATTCTTACTATGTTTTAGTGGGTTTTATAAAGATAGAGTTTGTTCATTTATTTTCTTCGTATTTATCAGACTAACTATAATTCCTCCTTATTGCAATTTATCCTAACAATTTATAATTCTGTTATTTCTTTTCCTCCTATTATTAAAAGGCATTCTATTAAGATTTTTTTGGCATCCCCTCTTTTAGATATATTATTTAATTTGCCTTTGTTTAATTTTCATTTGGTCAAGTCTAGCCCCCCCCCCAATGATTTGATGTTTATTTTCTTCTGTTTTACTTCAGAGGTATGCCTCGCCGGAGGGGTTTTGATCTAGTCCGCCCCTCTCTTTGTACTTAAAACAATTTTTTAATAAAATCCGATAAATGTTCCCCGGCATTTACCCCACTGATTTTGGTGGTTTACCTTCCGGGTTATATATATATATATATATATATATATATATATATATATATATATATATATATATATATATATATATATATATATATATATATATATATATATATATATATATATATATATATATATATATATATTAGCACGATTTACATTTGATAATACATGAGATTACAATTTCATATGTGTGATATACATTTCCATCGTGTAAATTACATTTACACATGATGTCTAAAGTTACATTTAATAATACATGAAACTACACTTTCACATGCGCAATTTTAGGCATTAGATTGGAAAATTCCTAAATGAGTTTATTTACTTACCCCCCTAATACCTAGTGACCTCGTGACATGATCTTGCAGCTATAATGACCAATAATTTGTTGATGACATCCACCTGTTGCCTACTGGTGACCATCGCCGGCCTGAGTGGCTACTACAGATCATGGTGACCATTATCGATCAATGATCACCACTAGCCACTGTGATCCATCACCGAATATCAATGACCACCTCCGACCACAATGATCTATAACACATGTCAGTAACCACCACCGCCTTATGACCACTGCGGGTCACATTGACTACCGTCGGCCAATTAGAGTTACAACTATATACAACCGCCATGGTGACCTAATTTTCAATTGCGACCAATGACACAACTATCTTCGACCAATGACACCATGGCCCCACTATTGAGACCCTTCTCGTCCAGCACCACGGTCGTCGCCCCTGGCAGGTGACAACGCCTACCACCACCCCTCCCTCGTCGCCTCAACGTACCCTACTGCCGTAGAAAACACCATGTTCCAAAACCCTGGCCTCATAGCCATTGCTTCTACCACATACCCCATCTCTTCTCCTCCCAAGTCACTGCCTTAGCTCTACACCAAGATCCAAACCCTAGTCGCTGATATGCCACAACGAGGAGTTCATGGGGAGAATTGAAGTGGTGACCTCGACGGAGGAGTGTTGTAGCGGAGGAGTGTAGCGGCGACACAATGACTTTTTATTACCGCACCAAGCTCAAATTGTGGCGTGTGACTTCGAGAACTTTCACCTTTAAAAAGTTTTCCCTCAAGTAGATAGAGATTCAAGATAGAGCAAAATTTCTTACATGTCATGACATTTTATGAAAATTTCCCAATTACGGTGTCGTTTATGATCGAGGAAAGTACAGCGCTGAAGTTCAATTGTGATCTCAAAACGTGAATTTTTGCATCTTTGACGGCGGAGATGGGTGGATCATGCGTTGGTTTTTGTGAATGATTTTTTGCAAGTTTTCTCTCTTCGACTCGGTGATTAAAGTCGTGTGCTAGCTTGTACCTAGGTTTCGGTGCTAGAGTTTAAATTCATGCAAACTCTTCATTTCCTCCCATCTTTCGTTCCCAGTGAATGACCTAGAAGTGTCGGAATTTGACTTCTTTTGACTTGTGGCCTATCTTTCATACTTTTGGCTATAGTTGATGTTTATGACTAAGGTAAAGATATTTGTCTAGTTTCTCCTCTTTTCTTCACCAGATGCATATAAATACTCATGTAAAACACAAGTAGTTATAATGTTTATCATGTCACGTTACGTGAATAGTAACTCCTTAAAGACTTAAAGTTAACACACATTGGTAAGAGAAAATGACATCAATCTCACCTATACCATTAATTGCATTGATTTTTGAGTGTTTATATTTTTACTTTTAATTACTTTTTATGGTGTGTTGTTGTGGTAATTGCACATTTAAGGTGCAATCATTTTATTTTTCTAGTTTGTTGTAATTTAGTAAATTTAGAATCATCTTGAGCAAGAAACAATCAAGAATCAACAAAGGATCATGGAAGGGATCTTACAAGATCAAAGGAAAGTGCAAGGGAACAAGAAATCATGCAAGAAATGTGATTTGGTGACTTACCCGGTCGGGTATAGCCTTTACCCGGTCGGGTATGAAGTGACCCGGACAAAAAGACGTGCAGAAAACACAAAATCGTGGGCAAAATATTTGATTTTGACAAATACCCGGTCGGGTATCTCAAATACCCGGTCGGGTATCCGGTGCAGCACCTTCAAAACACCTATAAATAGCCCCATTTTCCTTCACTTTTAAGCATCCCTTCTTCCATACTCTTAAGCTCAGTTTAGAATAGTATTTCTTTTATATTTTTATAGTATGTTTAGTCTCCAAATGAGGAACTAAACTCTTCCATCTTGGTTTTGCTACTTTGAAGCTTAATGAATTTGTAAGTTGTGAGTTATTCTCTTTAATCTTCTTCCTTGAATATTAATTCTTCCTTTAAATACTATTTCTATATCAATGTTGGGGAGTGTTACTAAGATGACAATTAGTTAACATCTTGACATTAGTTATAGTAATAATTATTTCTTCCTCTACGTTAATATTGGGGAGTGTTACTAAGATGACAATTAGTTAACATCTTGATATTAACTATAGTAGGATTCATCCTCTTTAATATTCTTTCTTGAGGATTAATTAATTCCTATTCATA